AACATTCAAAACCTGAGCTCAAGTGCTTTAATGCTCAAGCACCCACAAAGAGAGCCCTCCTGCTTCCCATAAAGTAGAGGATTGCTGTTTGCCTAGAGGAAGTGCTAACGTGGTTTTGTCTGACACAGAACGTCCCTGGCTGGAAGACTCCTACAGTCAGTGGCTAGAGCGACTGAAGGTAGGACTGCAATTGTTACTAACCACTGAGGAATTAAGCACATTAATCATAAAACCACCTTGTTAATCTTGGGCTTTTAAGAGACTTAACACGACTCCATTCAGACAGCTCAGAATACATTCTGATAACACAGCACCAGTAATGCAGCAGCCTTACCATAAAGAAAGGAATAAAAAGGAATTAGTCTGAGATTTTGTTACTTACCAGGCTTCTTATCTGAATTCCTTCAGAAACTGCAGCATTTGGAGGCCAGCCACTCTCAAAGCCATTCCAAAGTAACCAGTTTGCATCCTGCCTTTATAACAACATTTATTTCTATGCAACTAGACCCAGAATTTTGAGAACTTCGGTCCAAACGTAAGGTAGCCAACCTGTAACCCTCTGAGTAGCCATCTTTAAAACCTCATTAACTCAGGAGCCTGCCAAAAGCAATTAGTGAAGCTTTTTTTGCCCTGTGATCTCTATTATACTTTAATTAAGCTTAATTGAAAAGCTCTTGTTTCATTGTTTAACTCTCTGTGTTGGAAATGATAGCCAAAAAGGTGTGTTAGAAGTGACCTATTGGAAATCATTGCCTATTGCATCTTAAATCAAAAGCATCAGCTAATCTTGTATAATGAAGTGTAATCTTGATAATTAAGGAACTTCAAGCACTGTCTCAAAAGTTTTTTATGAGGAATTAAGCCTCGTTCACTATAAAAATTCTGCTGCCATGAACTGGAGAGTGAACTAAGTTTTATAATGTCAGCTTCAGGACAAATGAGGAGGTTGATGGAGAATAGGAAATACCTTTTCATTTCAGGATGTCACTGCCCCCAGCCCCCCATCCTGCCCTTTCCTGGCAGAAGGGAATCCCTTCACCCCACTGCCTGCTCTCTGAGGACAGCCACACAGGGAGGCCCACCCTGGGTCCCAGGAGGCTGCTCCCAGGCTGCAGGGCCAACACAAGGCCCCAGAGCTCTGAGGTGCTCTGCTCAGGGCTGCTGCAGCCAGCTGTAGGTCGTACCTACCACTGGTGGGTTGGCTGGAGGCTGCAAGAACTCTCTCAAACAAAGTGACTAAAGGCTGTTGTAAATAACTGTGCAGAGGCAAGGTGAGGGAAACTGATCTCTCCTAAGCTCAAGGGTAGGTGATGTTCTGATGAGTTATGCTGCTACTAGCTAACCAAAATGGCCAGTCATTGAAGGGTATAAAATGTGGGGTCTTAAAGTGAGTAGTTCTAAGTAACACAAACTATTCCCTGATATGAACTGTGAACTCAATCCTGAATATGTTGGTTTTTCTCTTACAGGAGGGTCCCCCTCATAAATGTGCCTTAATTTTCGCAGATAACAGTGGAATAGACATAATTTTAGGAGTCTTTCCTTTTGTCAGAGAGCTCCTTTCTAGAGGGACAGAGGTAAGTGGGTGTCACTGTGAATTCACTCTGGTAATGGGTGAAAGGTTTGTTCACTGCCTGCCAGCAGGACACTTTGGCAGACTGGCTCCTAGCACTGAAATGGGGAAAAATCCAGTCCCTGGAGTGCCACAGTCTAACTTTAAGCAGACCATGAGAGGCAGCAGAGCCAGGGGAGCCTCTGCCAGCCCTAGGTCTGTAAGGTCAAGAGCTGGAGGAGCTGGGTAAGGAGGGAGGAGGAGGACTGGGCCTCCAGCTTTGCCCTTTGCCATTCCTCTTTTGTAAAAGCAGCCAGGCAGAGGGGATTTTAAACACAAGCAGCTCTAACACCATGCATGAACTGCACTAACTGGTGAACCCTTCTGACTTCTTCACCTCAGGTCATATTGGCTTGTAACTCTGGCCCTGCCCTCAACGATGTCACCTACAGCGAGTCGCTGATCGTCACCGAGCGGATAGCAGCGATGGACCCAGTCATCCAGTAAGCACAGAGCCCACCCGGGGCTCATCTGCCCTGCCAAGTGCTCCAGCTACTGAAACAGCCAGTTTCTATGTTAAAAAAAAACAGAGGCAAATACATACATTGCACATACAGAGTGTCCCTGGAAGAGGATACAGAGCTGGCTAAATAATCCTTCTGTGAAGACCTGGTGTGAAAAGAGGTCTTTGCAAAGACAACTTAGATACGTTTGGCTCATGAGCAGATTTTCATGACCCCTTTGAGGAAGCTGTTTAATGTTTTTGTCTTTTTATTTTTTTTCCAATAAAGGTCTGCACTGAGGGAAGAGAAGCTGCTGTTAGTTCAGACAGGTTCAAGTTCGCCGTGTCTAGATCTGAGGTATGTTGGCAAAGTACCAGTTTATTTCTCTCCATCAGCTGCAGGACGTTCAGAGAATTGGGTCTGGAGTGTCTCAGCCACCTTCTGATAAAGGTCACTCTCACACAACCACTCAGAGCTGCTAAAGCTGCATTTGCAGGGTTGTAATATTGTTCAGACCTTACTGGTTGGACATTTTCCTTCTCATGTTTGTGTTCAGCAGTGACAGAGTCAGCTCCGTGAGCAGTTCAGTTACAGCTGATGGCAAATCCTGCACACGACCAAGAAACCCCCTGGACTAGACAAAGCATTTCATGTTGCTTACTTCCTTATTTTTAATTGGTTTCTCTACTGGAGGCAGCACTTCCCTGCGTTTTCTGGGAAGTCCCAATTCTGCACGCATTCAGTGAAGCTTTTAAACCCCGTTTCCTGTGATTTAGGGTGCTCCTGTTTACCGACCGGGGGAGGGGGTGTGTGTCCCCGCCCCCAGAGCCCCGCCCCGCCCGCCTCTAACGCAGCTCTCTTGCAGCCGGCTGGACCAGGGGCTGGCGGCGCTGGTGAGGGAGCGGCAGACAGACCTGGTGATCATCGAGGGCATGGGCCGGGCCATCCACACCAACTACTACGCGGCGCTGAAGTGCGAGAGCCTCAAGCTGGCCGTCATCAAGAACTCCTGGCTCGCCGACCGCCTCGGGGGCAAGATTTTCAGCGTCATTTTTAAGTACGAAGTGCCCTGTAAATGACGTGGCTCTGGCCAGCCAGGGGGGCAGGAGCAGCAGAATGGACTTGCACTAGTTTTACTTTAACTGTAAAGAATGTATTTTTATTACAACAGGGAAAAGAGTTCACAGGAAATTCCGTATTTATATTGTGCTTTTGTGACTTAAAAAGCAACAATATGATTCACTCTATAGTATACACACTCAAATATATATATGTATATCACTCATTGTTTATTTTGGTAAGTGTTTATTTTAATGCTGCAGTATTTGTGATGAAAAGACTTTATTTTTTTGTTCTGTGAGACATTCATATAGAAATATATTTAAATGTCAATGAAACCTTTTTTTATACATCTCTGCCTACTCTGCCAGCAACAACACGGCACATACCAAATAGTTTTTAAACTGCTATGTGACTCTGACATTGCATTTTCCATGTCAGCTTCTAACCTTACCTAAAGCCTTCCATGCTCTTTGCACTCAGCTGAAGGACTGATCCACCTTCTAACCTAACAAACGTTGCTCAAGCTGCATTTAAAACAGGCCTGTTGTGATCCAAGAGCACGCTGCAGACAGTAGGCAGCACTAGCTGACCCACAGTTGGAAGGACTCATAACTCTGAGCTTCTTTTGCTGCCTGTCCTCATGAACAGGGGTGCAGAGGGGGGTTCTGCAGCTGCACTCAGTTACTCAGCAGTAGTTGAGTGTGAGTGGAGGTGTGGTGCTTTGTTCCTGTCACAGGCAGGGTGCTTTTGTTGCCTTCAGTTACTTAATGCTGGGACTGGTAAGATTTAAAGTCTCTTGGTTCATGCAGTGTAGTTAAAACCATCTCCAAGTAACTAAATTTGCCTTTTTTTTCCCCCCCCCATCAGATGCACAGAACATAAATGGAGTAATTCAGCTATGAATTTGTAAACCAGCATATGCATGCACCAGGCACTCCAGCTCTGAAATGCAGAACAGCTTAGATAGAAAACTTCACTATGGAGCTGGGATAACTGTTCCTCGTGGATTTCAGAGATTCTTCTGAGAGCAAGAGCATAATGCCCATGACTGGCTGCCTCCCCCTTCCCAGTGAACTTTAACTGACTGATGACCAGACTTAGGCTCTAGCACTGTTGGGTTTCAGCTATCAATCTTCTTCCTAAATCATCCTTGATCAGGTTAACTAGGCCAGAACATCCTCTCTAGCTAAACAGTGAAACTTGCCCCATGGTGGGACACAGAGGACAAGCCCACATCTCCCCTTTCTTAAGTCTAGTCATTCCTTAACCACACGGTCTCCCTTTCTTGGGTGTTAGGGGCTCTGGAGAATGCAGCAGTGTCTGCATTTGGGGGGGTTATGCCACATACTGTAGTTTCTGATTCAGAAATTACCTTCCTGGTGGCCAGCATCTTCTGCTTAGAGGAGGGGAAGAGCAGAGTCTGTTTATAACTGAACTGTTTAAGATGCAGTTGTTCTTGATGAGAACAGTCAGATGAGAGCTTTAATGAGAGTTCTGAGAGTACCTCACACTGTCATTAGTAAGCAGAGGCTTCCCAGTAACCTATCCCAAGTCACTTCCTCCTACAGCCGTTCACATACTTCCATAGTCAACTGCTGAACTAAATTCGGCTCCGCTCGGCCATCCCAACTCCCTTTCACCAGGTTCTTACCCTCCCTTAGTGTAACAGTTACACTATCACTTAGCACTTGAAATTCTTCCAAGCCATGTCATTTTCCTCTTCATCCAGCTCCACCACCAGTCCAGAAGTGCTCTCTGTATTTGTAATTAGAAAACTAACACTCTAGACTTGCAGAAAAACATCTTTCTACAGTGCTGTAGTTCCTATGAAATATCTCTGATATAAACCTAATACATGCCCATTCCTTAAGCAAAAAAAACTCTTAAGCCCTCCCTGAAGTCTCCTGGCTCTGTCTTGTATTTTCTTTTAGACGTAGACGAGTGAACATTTCTTCTGTGAAAACAGAGCAACAGGATTTCTGGAACAGAAGAGGGGGGAGACAAGGGGGTGAGCTGGGGTGGGTTCCACACACACACAAGTGTGCACAGCCCTTCTGCTGGGGCAGGTGGGGCAGCAGAGCCCCCGGCTGC